TGGCCGCGCAGGTGGAAACAACACGAGACCGTGCTACCGTGCCTGTCAAGAGCAGCTCGACAGTGTTTTGTGTCCTGCAGCAGCAGCATGCGTGCCGTCAGCGCAGCTGAAGAGATCTGCGTTCAAATGCAAGCAGGCTTAAGCTTGCCGCATAGCACCGGCTAAAGTAATTACCATGAATGTGTCCGTGGGAAATAGTAAGGAGATATTTGAATTATTTACTAATAAACTAGTGTTTTCTGAGTCGGTGTCGCAAGGATCGGCCGGGCTAGGGCCTGAGCGTCTCGGGCCGCGGGTTGAGAACCACTGCTCTAAGCTAACGCCTACGTGCCTGTATTGAATATGATTACGCATCACTCCAGTAGAGTTATTGTAAGACAATTTGACATTACACAGTTTACACAAAACTTTTCAGTTTCCTTCTAATTCAAAATAATCCCACACCTTCTCATCTTTCGCATGGTCATTTTTGAACTCGCCGCAACTGACACGAAGAAAACGCATGTGAGGTCTGAGGTAAAAATGTAGTTTCCGCCCAGATAAACTTTTAAAAAGAATGTATTATTTTTCAAACGTTTTATTTTAACTTGTTAATTAAAATGTTTTAAATGCAATGTTAAAATTACGGTAATTTGAATGATAAAATCATGTTTTTTTTAATTTTTCTGTCGTGTAATCGACTATTGTTTTCAGTGTCGACTAGTAGGAGCTGTACCGTTTAGTCGACTAGTCGACTAGACCCGCACATCCCTAGTTACAGTAGGTGGTCTTGGTGATCTGTCATGCGTGTCTGTCTGTGTCAATCAATCTGTTCTGTTTATCTGACAGTGTTAGTGATAACTCTTTGAACGATGAAGGTATAACAGAGATTGCGGAAACACTATGCAGACTGCCCAACATTGTCTCTGTCTTGTAAGTAGTGTGTTTTACATTTTAAAAACCTGGCTATAGTCTGTTAACTGCTTCGGCTTTCTTTTGTTTATTTAGATATTAGTATATAGTAAGTCTGGTGCATTCCTCTTACACTTTTATTTAGGATGGGGAAGAACAGCATCTCCACAGATGGAATCCTCACACTCGTTGAGAGAATGTCTGCCTGCAACTCTGTTCAGAAAGTCCATGTTGAGTATGTTGATTTGTTGGCTTGTCAAAGACATTTGAATGAAAATGGAAAATGAGAAACATTTGCCACACAGTTTAGATCCTTGATTCTTAACTGATTTTATGGTTTACATACAAGTTGTGACCCATAAATATGGCCTTAAAATCGTAATGTTAATATACTATGAAGTAAAAAGAAGATTAATTTCTCCACATTTTGACCTGTATTTATTGTAGTCTAAGTTGTATTTTCTTCTACCTTGTGTAGTTTTGTTCATGTTTTTTTAAGAGATGTGGACATGTCACATGACCTGCCCATTTAGGTCGATTTCCATGGGATGTTCACAGTTGTTTCATTCTATACAGGGCCAATAAAGACATCAGCCTTTTCTTCTCACAAAGCTCTGATAAAGTCTGGTGAGTGCTGACTGATGTGTTAAAACACTATTAGCTGGGTTATTCTCAAAGGGTGGGTAAAACCCTAGAACTCCAAAACGTATTTTATATTTCACATTTCCTGTTTGCATATCTATTGTGGTTGCTTTGTCTGTGCAATGTACAGTTGGCCAGGTATTGCTGTGTAATGCACTGCCTTCAAACAGATCAAGTATGATCGATGTTAGATGATAGAAAATGTGCATGGGCTTTTTTAATTTGGTAGTAAGTTTATAGTTTTAACCTGACTAAGTACAGTCTAAAATGACTGCACAGTTTGGTGGTCACTCAAAGCAATAAATAAAATACAAAAAAACATTTGAATATAATGAAACAACAAAATCTTATTTCTCACTTTCTCTGCCTTAGTGAAAACACAGATTTGAATAACACAGAAGAGCCAAAGAATGTAATGTAAGTACTGAATTCTTTAATATGTTGTTATTGCTTTTTAGATCAAGGAAAACAAATTAATCCTTAGTTACAAAGTACTTAAAGTTAACAATGACTTTATGGATTCTTTATAAAATACTGAATGAGCCTTGCTTTCATCTTGTTTTGTTTGATAAGGTGGTGTATTGTGTCTATAAAGTCCAAGTGTTCACCACTGGGCAATATTTCAGGAGAATCAGAGGACAGAGTCAGAAATTTGGTGGAAAGGGTAGTAGGGTTGGCAGAAGTTATGCAATTACAGGCAAATCATTGCTTATATTCAAGACGGCAAACAAAAAAGACAAATGTGATGCAAAACACAAATAAAGAGCGAACTTGAATATCAAAAAGTTGTTTTAATCAGGAATAAAATGTGAAAGGCCATTCACAGACATTCTGTCAAATGAAATTGCCCTGCCATGTCACTACCCAATGGTAGTTTCAGTGATATTTTCCAAACCAAATACTGAACTGACAGGAATGAACTGTTTAATTGTTTCTTTATAGGTTAAAGCAGTGTAACATCAATGTTTCCAATGTAATCAGCCTGTGTAATAAACTCGGGGGCTTTTCCTACATAACCCTTGTAGAGTAAGTATCAAGTATACAGTCAATAACCTTACAGCAGATTGAGTTGATACCCCCACAATTCTTTACGTAAGTAGGGCATTAATGAAACCTGCTTTTCTCATCTCTCAGTTTGTCCAACAATTCACTGGGTAACAAGGGCCTGAAGAAGATTCTGGACCTTCTACCTAAACTAGGAATGATTCAGGAGATCAAGTAGGCCAATGTTTCCGCTGCAACATCATTTGGTCTTGACAGTTAGCCAGTGACACACTTTTTTTTTGCATGTGCAAAATAACTTCCCCATATACTTGTAGTTAATTTCTGTTTTCAAAAGAGTGTATATGTTTTTCTGAAAACTCACACAGTGTCAGTGAAAATGGTGTTGATATGGATGGGGTCGTGATGCTTGCTTCTGCCCTTTGTAACCAGAAGAACCTGAGGAAAGTGGATGCAAGGTAACTACCTTATCAAAATTAGCATGGAGCTATTGACCATTTTAATGCCTGTCTGAAAATGCTGTGCTTTTTCTCACCAGTGAAAATGGAAAGAAAAAGCTGGTTCTTTGGTTTGACACCAGCAGACGGTACTGAAACAGTTGAAGACATTTCTGCTTAATATAAAGTAGTGCATATGTAAATGTTGGTTTTGAATATCAAATGTGATTTTTGAATTCAGGCATAATTCAAGACAGCTGACCCCAAATGTAACTGGGATACATCTGCATAAAAAACTCAGGTACATCTCTCAATTGGATTCTATACATTGGTTTAGCTGCGATCATTTAATAATTTGTTATTCACATTTACTTGTATAGTGCTTTTCACGATACACATCACACATTGCAAAGCAGCTTCATAGAAAATTAATGTTTCTACATTACAGTTAAGAGTAATTTTTGTCTTTCCAGTTTAACCCGTAGTGATATCAAACCTGTCTACATGACCAAGCTGTGTAAGCAACTGGTAAAATGTGAAAACCTACTGGACATTGAGTGAGTAGCTCAAATATTTAGGATAGACAAAAGACTTACCAGATTCTACATGTATCAGCTGTATTGAGCTAGTCCTCAGTGTTTATTTGTATTACAGGTTCTCCCATCTAAAATTATCAAATGAGTCTGTAGAGAAGTTGATGTTGATTCTTCCTGAAATGTCTTCTCTTCAACTACTGAAGTAAGTGGCCATAACAGTCTGGTTCCTGTAGCACAGCTGTGATTTATCTCTATCATAAATGACCTGATATGACTAATCATTCATGATGACCGTGTTTTTCAGCCTAAGTCATGTTGACCTGTCTACAAATGGGGCTTTGTTATTGATCAGATCTCTTGCTGACTGTCAGCGTGTCACAGCTGTAGAACTGAGGTATCTTACTTCAGTTCAACGTCAGATATTAAACTATGGTTAACTTTCTTAAAGCTACAGTCCGTAACTTTTTTTGGTTAAAAATGATCCGAAATCAATATTTGAGCAAGTACATAACCAGCCAGTGTTCAAAACTATCGCCTTATTTTAGCCCGATTCACAACGGTTATCTTATAATAATGTTTTCTAATTTGAGTGGTACGGGTAGGTTTTCGCGGGAAATTCGAGCATGGCACTGCGTCATTACGTCACGTCTGT